CTTTCAAATATATGAAAGTGAATCGGATAGGAATCGACGTAAACAGGAGGAAGATATTTCACGATGCACGAGTTTAGAATGTTTAGTGCGTGTTTCATAGTAACTGCTATAAAGATCTGCCCTCCAGAGGTTGGCACGAGTGCGTGAAAGTACAATAGGGCCGTTTTTCCGTAACCGTCGATCCCCTATCGCGAGAGGAGCGATAGAGAATGCGTCCTGAAAGCTTTTTTCGATGTACCCGACGCCCATGGTTCTCGTGCGATGAATCAGAGCGTCACTGCGCTATCGATTTCGCGAAGAAACGGACTTCCCCGAAGAGAATCGGAACTTTACAAAGTGCCACTTTGCTCGTGAGCTTATTCGAATAGAATACAAAGCTTTGGCTCGTTAATCCGGTTAACGAACGTTAATTGATAGACATTAATTCAAAGCGATAAAAACAGGCACCCGAAGCTGTTCTGTTAAACGTTGCTCGGAGTTAAATCAAAATTATCGTCTAGATCTATGCGATTAATCATTGTGAACAGGCAATATCAACAGGGAAAACGGGCGAGCATTCCGCGAGCACACACGCTCCGCTCTCGAAGGCGGCTGCAATCAATGTGATTCAGTCGTTGATTTATTGGGGCGATATGGGACGAAAATTCATTTCCAACCGCAGTACGATTTTGTTACTGACTTAAGAGGATGTAAAACGATTCGTTAAGACTATATTTAATCTCTGTTCTAAGAAATCTCTTATATGTATTATATACATACATATGTGTATATAAAAAAGCTACAGTCCAAATTTCGATGAGAATACATCAGATTTTTGCTAATGTACAAACAAACGCTTTCTCTTTATATAATATAGGAATCGACGTAAACAGGAGGAAGATATTTCACGATGCACGAGTTTAGAATGTTTAGTGCGTGTTTCATAGTAACTGCTATAAAGATCTGCCCTCCAGAGGTTGGCACGAGTGCGTGAAAGTACAATAGGGCCGTTTTTCCGTAACCGTCGATCCCCTATCGCGAGAGGAGCGATAGAGAATGCGTCCTGAAAGCTTTTTTCGATGTACCCGACGCCCATGGTTCTCGTGCGATGAATCAGAGCGTCACTGCGCTATCGATTTCGCGAAGAAACGGACTTCCCCGAAGAGAATCGGAACTTTACAAAGTGCCACTTTGCTCGTGAGCTTATTCGAATAGAATACAAAGCTTTGGCTCGTTAATCCGGTTAACGAACGTTAATTGATAGACATTAATTCAAAGCGATAAAAACAGGCACCCGAAGCTGTTCTGTTAAACGTTGCTCGGAGTTAAATCAAAATTATCGTCTAGATCTATGCGATTAATCATTGTGAACAGGCAATATCAACAGGGAAAACGGGCGAGCATTCCGCGAGCACACACGCTCCGCTCTCGAAGGCGGCTGCAATCAATGTGATTCAGTCGTTGATTTATTGGGGCGATATGGGACGAAAATTCATTTCCAACCGCAGTACGATTTTGTTACTGACTTAAGAGGATGTAAAACGATTCGTTAAGACTATATTTAATCTCTGTTCTAAGAAATCTCTTATATGTATTATATACATACATATGTGTATATAAAAAAGCTACAGTCCAAATTTCGATGAGAATACATCAGATTTTTGCTAATGTATAAACAAACCTTTTCTCTTTATATAATAATAAGATTATGATTGGTTGTTCAAATAATTTCATGTGAAATTCCCCATTTTCACGTTTAATAACAGGTTTTAATTTGAACTTGAAATGATTGTCCAGCGTTGAATAGATCGTGACAATCAACGGTCTTTCAATTAATTCAAGCTACATTGATAAAACTCTGAATTTTATCAATGACCGTTAATGTGTTTCATATTCACGGGAACGTAGTGAAACGCGTTCGATGGAATTTCACGTCAGTTCATGCATTCATCCATCAAACAAAAGAAAGGTCGCCACCTCTAAAAAGCGGCGCTTCTATGAGGAAGCAGGCGTGGTTATTCTCTGTTCCCGATGAGACAGAAAATTCCTTTCGTTTGTGAATATTTCATTTCAACGCGACACTTGTTTACGTTTAAAGGCGACCAGATCGAACGTTAAGTTTCAATAAAACGTGCTGAATAAACGTGGAAATTTAAGCGGGGTTGCAAAAAGTTCGCCGGTGAAAGGTCAAGGATTTAATTAGCGTGAATTTCATAAGTCGACTATTGGTTTAACGTTTCAATATGTTCAAGTGTTACGTGCAAGTGTGTACTAATAACTCTTGTAATGCTGACGCAGAGAAACATTTTTTCGGCGACCTTCGCCCTTCCAATGCATGAATTCTCGCAGAAATTTTCAGCACTGTTTTCCTTTTAGAATTTCCAGCCAGCGTCAGACTAGCTTACTGTGAATAGGTTATTTTCTTTTTGCCGCACTTGGGTTACAAAGTAGCTTTCGACTTGCAGTCGTCATCAAACAGTAAACAACTTTTCTTTTCGAGACTTAGTGTTCCGGAGGGATGAACTTCATTCTAACAGAAGTAATCTCCGGAGAATATTTAGATTCCATCATCATCAAATCATTTTATATTTTTATACTCAAAAGTTCATTTTTATTATTTCACATAATACCAGGTTTTATATGAATGAAAGAATTGGAGAAACCAAGGTGTCTATCATTTCTTTCGGAAAGAATGTACTTCAGTTTCCTAGGCAATGAATTAGCATTTCTGTCCAATAAGTACGGACGTAAAATAGCCATATCAAATTTTATACTTTGAAATTCGTATTCATCATTTCACATAACGTGGGATACTGTCTGACAATATAGAGCAAAATATCTACCACAGTTTATTTCGCAAAGAAAATACTTCAACACATTTCTCGATAATTTAATATCTCTATTTAATAATCATGATTTAGAATAACCATTTCAATTTTTATACTCTGACATTCGTTTTGATTATTTGATATGTTTAATACCAGGTATTAAGTAAATAAAATAAATAGTGAGATCAAGATGTCTGCCATAGTTTGTTTCGCAAGGAAAATGCTGTAACAAATTCTTCAGCGACAAAGCGACGCGTTGACACTGAATTAGCATCTCTGTTCGTTAGCCATGGAATAAATTCGAAGTTTCATCGGTATGGTCGGTCGCGGTTTTAAAACCCCTTCGCCCCGGCTGATTACCACAACAATACGAAAGTTCCTCATTGACCTGGAACAAGCCGAGTTAACAACGACACCGCCACCGCGAAACTTCCACTCGATCGATTCTCCTCGCCGTGAAAACGATTACGAATTCTAACCGTGTCGCGATCCGCGCTTTACAATGGCCAACAGAATCTCGAACCGCTTCCTGCCGCGTTGTTCGAGAAAACGATCGCTATCGACTAATGGATCGACACAATCGAAACAATGGTAATCAGATCAGAACGCGGTATTACGACCAATCGGATGAAGACACGATCTTCTATGTATGTCCGTAGAAACGTGACCGTCACTATAATGCAATTAGGGCAACCGATGATGTCAGATGAGACGAATTACTCTGTAGATTAAAAATTCTTGGATTGCATCAATGCCAGTTAAAAAATTGCTTTAATTCAAACGTCATATTGTAGTAAATGTCCCAATATCTGTTCACATCACAATTTATATTCACTGCCTTTTTTTCTATCATTTCATATGCAATCTTAAACCAGTCAGAAATTATGACGAAAACAGAAAATGGGACATTTACTATATTATTGGTTTCAGTAATCTGCAGATTTTATGAATTCACAGAATTATTTAAAAAGATTATTTTGTTTTTGTTAGTTATTATAATATATTGTTTTTACCCTGAGGAAATAATATAATTATTTTTGAAAAGTTGACAAATTTTAATCCACATTGCATTTTTTAAATCGAGATCGCAAATGTTTTGCATTATGTTGAAACACATTTTGAATAGACTTATTATAACTTAGTTGTGAAGAAAGAATGCATTCGTCGTATCAGTTGATTCTTTGCATAAAACAAATCGAGCGAAAATCCGTTTTCTCGCCTTCGACTGGCGTTTAATCCATCCGGGGTAAGAAATAATTGAGAGATAAGAAAGGAAGGCGTTGTCCGAGGAAAAATGGATCGACGAGTCTCTGATCAATTGCCGGGGGGGTCGCTTTATATTTTTCCTAATTAATGGACGCTATTTATTAAACGTGGGAAGGAAGGGGGGATGTCGCTGGATCGCTTCGCTTCCTCGATGCGCGCCCCTCGGGTTTTCCTCCTCCTTTCGCTTCGATTCGCTCGCAGTCCTCCAAGGACCATTATTCAGGTGTCGCTGAGAAATTGAAACGAACAAGCGCTCGTTCAAGGAAAGAGAAGCACTCGCGGTTAATGCTTAATTCACCATACCGTTGTTGCGAGTTTCTTCAGAAGAAATATCGGATTTCGTACAAATGGGAAGATTAAAATTAGTACCGTGTCCCTAGACAAAGTAGAATTTTAATAAAAACTATGTTTCCTTGTTTTAGCATTCCTCGATTAGAATGACTATAATAATGATGAACAGCAACATTAATCAATTTGTACGAACAGCAGCTTGCATTTTACGAGCTATGTAGAACAATAACTCTCTGTAAATGCGATTTACGTGCCGGATAAATGTACCAGTTTTTATCGGAGCAGTGTAATTAAAAAAAGAATTCCGTAATATTCGAATATAAATATAACATGATAAAAATAGAAATCTCTATATTTCTGATCTTTTTTTACTTACACTACTTTTACAAAAACCGATAAAAGCGAAGAAATATGGCTGCATCGTAGTTTCTGGCCGTTTTGTGACTAACCCATACGAAACTCGCCGCACGCACTGAAAGTGAATCGCCTCGTTCTATAAAACGCGACGATTCGGTCGACCTAACGCATATTCGAATAAAAAAAACGGTTCGCCCGTAGAGTCTCGCTTAAAAAAGCGCTCGTGGCGGTTTGACAAAATAAATTTGCAATCGACCGCTACAAAAAAGTTTACTCACAATTTATGCCCGCGTTGTTGAGTAAATTTATTCTGCAATATATACATATAATATATGGGTGGCGAACGAAAAACTCGATCGCGTTAATATCGTCGTGCGTCAACGTTTAACAGGTAATTCCGCCTCGTGAAATCCGATCGCTCGCTTCGATGTGATCGAACATGTACAGATTTATTCAACATACTGGGTCGTCTGTGAGCCTCTCGTCACCGAAATTGGAATAATTTCTGAATCTTCTCAGATCGATTTATAAATTCTCAATTGTTGGTCGATCTTTCTGTCGTATGAGCGATTGGAAATATTCTTAAAGAATCTGTTAGACAAATAAATAAAATTTGCCTATTTGCTTTTTTCTACAAAAATTCAGGAATTATTCTAATTTCGAGCATTCGTGGCATTAATAATTTGCCCATTAATGGACATTCGCATTCATCTTCAAATAAAAATTGAAAACGCGAGTACTTTTTCTGAATTTGTGGAACTAAAACGAGAGCGGAGGCCGAGTAATAGAAAGTTCCACGACTTCCTGCTTCACACGGCTTCGTCCTTGGAAGAGAAGGCAGGATTCTCGCGAGATTCCCTCGCGGTGTACGCCAGTTTCGACTTGGCGGTGTCGGACTTTCGCTTCTCCTCCTTACTGTTTCCATTTCTGCAGATCATCTCGCCGGTTCCGTTCGGGACGTTGATCACTTCCGTCAACTGCATTGCTGTCGCGAATCTCAATGCCTGGAATCAGAATTCGGGGTCGTCAGGCGAAACTCGGAACGTCAAGAGTGGTAGTGCGTTCCCAATCGCGTTGATTAGATTGAGTTCTGTTGCCGACTGTCGAGCGAAACCGCATTGGTAGAACAGAGAGGAAAGGTGTGGTTTGATAGGACAAAGGACTTGGGTGACGAATCAACCCTTGCTCGAAACCTTGACGCCCTCGATGCATCAGTAAAAACACAAATTCAGTTAGAGCAAATACACAATAAAGGAATTATTTTTTCAATGTGAAATGAAAAGTTTTCTGTAAATACAGAAGCTTCTTCATTTTTTCATATTAAGATTTCACATAAATGATTAAATCTTCAATTCATCTATTGGCAATTAACGTTTGGGTTTCTATTCGGATTTGGCTAATTTAGAATTAAAATAATTTAATTAAATAAAAGAAATCTGAATTAGTGATTGAGTTGTTAATTCTTAATTAACCTACCGACAGTTTTTGTACACTAGTGTAGTAGTTAGTGTACACATTGGTACTTTAGATTGATAACATCTTAAATAATAATTAGAATTTTAACATTATAACAATTTCGTTTTCTTCTTATTTCTTACAGAAAAATTTAAAACCAGTCATTTGACCTGCATCGTATAATTAGTGTTAAAAAATATTCCAGTTATCAATTGAGATTCGGAGAATAGTCAATTATTAATATGGAATTTGCGACACGAAAATGATTAAAGTAGCTATACAAGTAACTAGATAACGTTCAGTGAGATTCGATTAATTAGGTCCTTGTGACATCAAAGACGGGATTCGTTAAAAAAAATTGTATATTCTGGATAATTGGTCGGTGGCGCGTTTAATGCGCAGGAAAATCCGTGGAGTTAGCGCCGCTTTCAGTCCGCCACCGTAAATCGCAAATCCTGACGGCGACTAGATAATCTCATTTTATGTTATCAACTAACCTTGTTCCAGTTTAAACGAACCTCTCGCGCGTCGTTCAAGCCACGCCGCAATGTTTGTTGCTTACTTTAACCCGTCACGTGGTTCCGTTCGAAACAGGAAGTTTCATGCCCCGCTATCTTTCATCATTCCACTTAAGAAACCCCGTGTCAATATTTATAACAAAATCCCGAACTGGGATCAAATCGGCAGAAATAAAAGATGCATCGCGAATTATATTTTTAACAGATGAATGAAACGCGCGATTTGATTTTCGCGTTCAATGAACAAGAAAAATTGTCGTCAGTGAAGTACATCTGTGGAAAATCGCGATTTCACCCAACGGCTCAATTCAATAAATAAAACGGTTCGAATGAAGCATCCGACTATTTTAGACAGCGTCGATTAAAGAAATTAATAATATAACTGTATTTCGTCATGTGCAGTTTCGGGAAAGCGATCGGTAATTTGTGAACGTAGGCGGCCTCGTGTACGGGTGCATGCGGAAAAATGAAATGACAGGCTTTAACGAAATCTTATATAACAGCCTCTGCGACGAAGAACATAAACCTGGAAATGCGCGTAAAAATGGGGAATAAAATCGGTAGGATTTATATTAGGTAACCCAATTCCAGTTGCGGTAATAACTCTACGTGATCTAAATGCGCTCGCGGCGTTTGCGACTCGGAAACGCTGATCGGACGTACGTGATTGCCGTTTCACGTGCAACTCGGCTGAAATTCGTAACGATCCGCGAGTTAAAGGGAGTCGATACACGGGTGATCAGAGCCGGTTGGTTCGAAGGACAATTTCATTAGTTTCTGCGCCGTCTGGCTTATTAAATGTAACCGGAACTGCGAAAGGGCTCGGATCAATTCCAAGTAGGACTCGCCCACGTGTCGCCGACTTTTTCCCGCGCCCTCGAAACGACGTTTATTTCCGGATTTCATCTCCATTCAATTACGCGTTTCATCCGAACGTTTTATGAAAGCTCCAGCCGAGTTTCGACGAAAATTGAACGGAAATTCACCTGCGAACGCTGGTTACAACGCTCTGACCTTGGTGATTGCATAGATGATAACGTTACACGGGCCACTGTGAAAAATCCTTGACCCAATAAAGAGTGTTGTTGATTTTAAACATTTGACTTGCTAAAATATAAGAAACTTATTTTGATTTAAAAATGAAGTAGTTCGTATTTTTATTGATCCACCCTGTATAAGAAAATGCGTAAGAATTTTTTACTAGCTGAACCTTGTTGACGAGAATATGTCCATTACCATCAAGAATATCGGTGTACGATTAAGGAAGAGGATACCTCGGGGAGAACGGTAATAAAAGTTTTAAGTTCGACGAGAGTTGGACGAAAGTTGAAGCATTCGCTCGACTTCGGTCGCGGGCTTGTCTTCTTATGAAAAAAAAAAGCGATGAAGTTTTCATCTCGAGAGACAAACGATCGCGTCGAGATGAAGTTCGAGCGCTCTCTCGGCTTTTCATTCACGCTGATACTTAAATCTCTTATTTTAGCTTAATTGCTCCGCTTCAGACGAAATTAAAAAACTTTCACACCAATACCCGTAGTCACTTCACGCCTTTTCTACCCTTTGTCAATTGATCATTCCACTGTCGATGAACCTTTTTATTTTATGACGCCGGATCTACACTCCGGTGTCGAGTTTGCAGAATTTTGTCCAATTTGGAATTGCGAATGCAATAAATGAATCGGGCTCGTTGGGAACTTACGTACTCGAGAACGAGATTCTATAAGCGTTTAACGAACTCAACTGGCGCCTGTCCAATCTCTGTTCAGCGGTTAGCTTTGCGATTTAAAACTCGTTACCCTTCGCCGGTCCCGGTGGGCGGAATACAGGATCCAGAGGATGTAGGACACCATTATTATGGCCGGTATGCAGATGCCGGTCACGGGGAACGTTTCCCGCAGGAGCGTCTGATGCACGGCGAGCAGCGTGATTGCCAGCACGGCCCCAACGGCGACGTATCTTCCGGTACGACGTCGGTCGCCCTGTCAACAAATGACAAATATCCTAGTCTCTGCAACGTGACTGAACTCGCGGCACTCTGTAACCGATGTACAGAAAAGAGGAAACGCTTTGTACTTGAAAAATGAATTACAACTTTGCCCAAAAGCTTTGTGACAAAAATTTGACTAAAAATGCATTCCAATGAATGGATGACAAATGTCTATGTATCATTAAAATCAAGAAAATGGGAAAGAAGAAAAACTGGAAGAGATACGAGAATGGTATGTAAGGAGGACATTGGGTTTAAATTTTAATGCATGAGAAAATACGGTACTGACAAAAGTGGAGAAGATCAGAGTAGAAGCAGGAAAAAGGGCAGCCAAATACTAGCAGAAAACAAGACTATATTCAGTAAATAAGATAATGAAAGAATGTTGGAAGGAAATCGACAGAAACGTACGACAAAGACGGGTCGAATCGAAAACGAAGAAAATAAGAGCCAGATATTAAAGCCAGGAAAAAATAGGCTAGAGCAATGCAGAAGAAAAGAGAACAGGATAGCAGAAACGGCAGCACCGAAGGATTTGAATATGCAAATACGAGACCAGTGCGAAAGGATAAGAGATGGCCGATACAATCAGAGATACAAAACAATTAGAGAAGAGGATGGAATACTTAAAAAGAGAATACAAAGGAAGAGACCAGAGTATGGTGACAAGATTTAGATGTGGAAATGTAGAGAAGTTTTATCTTGATTCTTTAAAAACTAAGTACGTAAGATCGAATGGCGTAAACGTATATATTGTGCACTATTTTTAGGATAGACTCTGCAAGTTGTACGAAAGATGAAGAACGAGCATGGAACAAAATAACGCGTATATAATTTAATAAGTTGATAAATGTATAGCAAAATTCAAACTCGATGCCTTTAAATTTTCTATAAATGTCGGCAAAAACTTTCCGGACAGCCAAATATATTAATATCGAGGAGCTATTGACATCTCTATTACGTTTTTAACTGCTTCTAATGATAGTCGGTTGGAAATATAGCGCAACGGAAACGTAAAACGGGTGATGATGACACGAGTAACAAGGCGATATATAAATAGTAGCGGGGAAAAATTCAAAAGAAGAGACGTTACATTCGATTCTGACGGTAGATTTATGAACTGAGAAAATGAGGGCAGCGGCGCATTTCAGAAGAAAAATAAATCGTACGTCTTGGTGGACGATGTTGAAAAAACGGCTGACTCTACGGGGCATGGGAAATATACGTATTGTGATACACGGTGCCGCCGGCGAAAAATTGAAGATAAATAAACCAAACGTAGATACGTGCTATCCATCAACCCGTATGCGGGTACAAAAAATATTATAAAATCCGACAGTGAGAGAGGAGGAAGATCAAGTCGTCCCGATTCGGTCGCTGGGCATTAAATTCGGGGTAGGTGGCGGATGCGACAGGTCCATTTCCAGTCGCGCGACACCGCACCGATGCAATTTGACCTGTCGCGTCGTCGCGGGGCTGCTTTGCATTCGCATACGTGACCAGAGATCATCGATATCCTCCCGCGTTTTCCTCTTATTATCGTATTCAAATCGAACCACCCGGATATACGTAGGCAGTCGCACGTTCGCATTGGATCAACAATATAAAAGGGTCATCCGAGTGAACGTCTGTTCTGCTTTAGTCAGCTTACCATTCTATGAATTCATTACCTGTTGAGGAATATAGCATTCCATACGCATAAGTGGCCACGTACCTCAGGACAATAATATCGAATAGAAATTCATCCTAGCTTTAAATAGATAAGCTTACAGAAAAATGATTATAAATTAATTTGTACAACTAATTTATATGCATGATATAATATATCTGACAATACTAAAATCTGTTACTTCTACGAGAGTAGCTCTCTTGTCGCGATTCTCAATGGGGGTAAAGAGGGAATAAAAAGAGGGTGGATTTAAAGGGCGTTAAGTTGGCTCGAAAATATCTTGCGAACACGGGTTTCCATTTTACCGCAGCGTGTGACCCGCTTTCGCGTGCGTCGGATGTTGCGCGAAAACAAAGGATTAACATTAACAACGCGACTTTCCTACTCCGTCCTACGTTCGCAAAAAGAGTAGCATGGACCAACGCGCAAAGCGAAACCCCGCATAACGATACTGCGGTAAAAAAAGTTTGCTTTTAATGGTTTCGGAAACGGAACTGCGTACACCAGGAATACTTTGCCCCTTCTCTCTCTATCTCTCTCTGACTCAAGTGGAACATTAATGCATATCGTGGAAACAATTGTTTTCCTCTTTCCTAATTCACAATTGTTGCCCAAGGAAGTTTGTCCGATATTCCTTTATTTCCTTTACTCTCAGTTATTTACGTTGAATATTTCATGCATGTACATTTTGATCAATTGAAATCAATGAAATCGTATAAGAGTTAAAACAAATATTGATAATTAATAATTTGATTCGTTACGTAGCACGTAGACTGCGGAGTTTTATGGAAAATGAAACATCCGAGTTATGAATTTAAAAAATGTGATTTTGGTACAAATTTCTTTCATCATTCAAGCGCCGTAATATCCATGCAGCTTTGGTATTTCATACATTTTAATATTAGTTTTCTGCGTATTCAATTCTTTCATAAATTAATAAAATCCGCAGTTCAATTTTAGATAATTTTAGAAAAAAATGAAACGGCAATAAATGAGATATAATGGTTAAACTTTCTTAGAGTTAGGGAGCTTAGGATTAATCCGGGAAAAGTTCAGAGGGTCGAAACGACACGGGGTATAGGTCAAGCGGCAGAAGGGTTGCATCCCCAACTTGACGTCCGTTATCATTCTCGCAACCTTGATAGTTTCAAACAAAATCCAGATGTTCAATTCCGCATAGGCGTTGATCGATAACTACTAACCGTGGTCGTAACTGTCGTAACAGTGTTAAGGGTATCCCTCGAAGAGGACGTTTCCGATCTGAGTGGCATGGCTCTGACAATGACATAAATCAGCTGTCCCAACGGCGATTTAAATAATTCTCACCCGATAGGAACGTCCCGTTGGGTGTCTCCTCGCTTCACAGGCATAGATCACCTAAACTCTTCCACTGTAATTTCAATCTCCGTTGACATGAATCATCGATTACCGTCACGACACCTCAAAACACAACGAACGTTCCCCGGCGCATTTTATTGTACACAGTATCTCTGCACGACCCTCTGGAGAACTTTTAAAACGGCTCGGAACATACCATGAATTCCGCAATGAAATTTACGATCATACCTGCCGCTAAATTGAACGCTTCCCGTATTTGCAGTGTAGCTCGCGGTTTAATTAGAAAGTGGAAACACACCGTGGTCTCAGAATGCAATCTCGCGGATTGTAAAACCGACCTCGTGACATTCGTCCGCAGTTATAATCACAGTCACAATCTCGAGTAGGTTCACTATTAAAAATAGTTATCTTACACGAAGTACACATTTACCACATAAATTGCATATATTAATTATGTTCGTTACACTATAGACGGATAAGGAGGGTCTAATGGACTAATTGCAATTAAGTTCACCGAACTCGTGATAAACGATCACAAAGAACATGATTGGCACGCGTCGATCCTCGATGCGAGGAGGATCGATCGTGATCGCAAAATGAAAGAACTGGTGGGTGTATCGGTTGCGTGGACTCGGTGAACAGTGGCAGCAGCCGCGCTTTTACAACGCCGGGCCCGGCACAATATAAGCCAGCCAAAGCCAGCTAGCATAATAAACGAATAACACGACCGGACCATCACACCCACGTAGATAGACGAACGGCTCTTTTCTCAAACATGGTTCATGCCGAGTATCGAAGGTAGGCTTTGCCAAAATTAGACCGATCCTTTCCGCTGGTTTACTTCGCCGCGTGCTTTCGGTAAAATTCCTCCTTGCTGAAGAAGATTAATGGCTCGCAATCGCGTCTAAACTAGAAACTTCCTGGACTGGGTCAATAAAACGTTAAACTTGTGAAACTAGTTATGCACCCTTCCAATCTCCATAACCAGTCTCACGATCATTTCTTTTGTCAATTATTCAAGGTTGTCAGAAATATAGCGATATTTCTAATGACTAATATGACAATTATATTGGAAAAGTGCTTATTGAAATTTTTCTCTGATTCAGATTGGATTAAACTCATAGCGACTCCCATTAATATGGGTACAATGGAAGTCACTATATGTTGTCTTCTGAAATGGATATTTAGTATAATGTAAGCAATTGCCAATAGATAACTGGAGAGGGAGGGACGAATCTAAGTTGCGTCTGTGTCATTGGAAACGCAGAGCGAGAGGCGAATGACGCTAAACCGTGTTACGCTTAAATCGAATTAGCCTTGTTCCTATGGCCCGTGAGAGTTCGCAGCGGAATGTTCACTCCGAAGCATCCGGATTCGAGATGCATGCGAAATTGAATGGCACTCGCGCGAAACCGTTCCAATTCCCCGCCACGGATCCTCGATACCTATCTTCGAAAACTGTGTCTTTGATCGGAACGCCGTTACGCCTCGCTTGCCGTGTACATCTCTTATTTATCCCGTTCGAAAAATTCCCGGATCCCGTTTCCTACGATCTTCCAGCGAGAGAGAAAGAAGGCCGAACAAATTGAACGTTCATGTTGGATCATAAGCGACCGATTCCGGTTAAACCAGGTGGAATATCCGGCCGTTACAACCTCTCGCGCGGACGTACTAATGAAGAAATAAAACAGGTCCGTCCTATGGCCCCACAAAGCGGTTCACGATCAAATAAAGGAGTTCTCGAGGCACGTGGCAATAAGGCCGGGAGGATATCTGATCGGATTCCTCCATCTACGAGCTTACGGCACCGCCGACGATTACCCGATTATATTCCCGTGTATCCTCAGTTTTATTCCCCGAATGGGCCCTCGCGCCCTTTTACGACACCGAGCCGCCCTCAGCGGCACGTAATGCGACTGCCGAGCGCACAGAGCCGCTTAACCGGTCGGAACTCCACCGAATATTCGCACCACGTACTCGCCGCTTTTCAATCGTACAACGGGGAAATCGTGGCCGGGTCTCTGTTTATGCACACTCGAACGACTACCCGAAAATCCGTTGCATAAGCGAACGAGAGGATAACTCCCTGGCGACCTTAATAGAAAATCAGGTTGACCGACCGAGATCTGTATCTAAACTTTTCGGATGTTTGTCCCGTGTCTCTTACTTGGGATGTTTGCCCCTTTTTCGGTTACTTCGTTTTTCTTGTTTCTTAATTGTGTGACCCAGTTGATCCTCAGTAGTAGATTTTATCTGCCGTTTATAAACGCTATCTGAATTGAGATTCCTCTTATCTTTCATGAATAATAATGTCATACTTTTGAACGTTGAACGTGTAAAATTCACAATCACTTTATCACCAATTGAATTGGGTTAGATAACGTTCGCAAGTGAATTTTGTGGTGAAATATTGGTGATCTCAAGATGGATAGAAATGTTCGATTTTGAACGTTGTTATCGTGCATATCTCTCAACAATGAGGCAAATGGGGTCAGTCGCAACGTAGGAACGCGTGGGCGTAAACAGCGAACTAGCAAATACCTCCGTTTAAAACAACATTAGCGATGCAGGTATGTATGTACGTATGTACGTATCAGAAATATCGTTACTTCTGCGGATGTTCACCGCAGACTTCCGAGTAACAATTAAGGTGTCCGACTGCAATGCGCACCTATACCTTCTTTCCCGTGTGCGTGAGTCACGCGGGTACCGTTTTGACTTATTGATAGAAGTGTAGGTGCGATCTGTAATAATATCCCTAGCGCAACTTTGTGGTTCACGCGAATTCGCGCCATTGTTCTTCACAAAGGTAGGAGACTCGTTGATATTTAAATAATTGGCTGCTCGACAAGGAAGAAACATTTACAGAAGCCGAAGAGGAACTTTTAATTGCGAACTTCGCAACTACCCGTGATTTCCCAGGCTAACAAAGAGCCGTGATACAAAACTTGTCTTTGCGAGTCTATTTTTGTCGAGGGCACGTTATCAAACGCGAGGAGGATGGTTCGATCGACCCTTCTATGTGAAGGGATATGATAGTACGTAGGTGTTACCTTTCCTCATTGTTTTGGATCTCGAGAAGAAAGAGCGCCTACGTGAATGGATTTGGAGTAAACGCCCACTCGATGCAGATTAGTTAACTATTTCGATTGTAACATCCCGACAGAAATAGAAAAAAAGTATTAGGATTGTCTTGAGAAGGAGGAATATGAATTTTCAAATGAAAAGAATGTCAAAGGGAGATTGTATAAATGTCCGTAATTTCCTTTTTATAAAAAGCGTTGCAATGCCAGGAAAATTCTAATTAATTGACGATCCCGGAGCACAAGAAATTAGTAGTCGCGTGAATGCACAATCACCCCTTAATTCGTTTTCATTTACGTTCGACGGGAATACATGAATAGCAAAGCGATTACCCGATACCCTTTGCGATAATTGATTTCTTTAAAATATCGAAAATGGAGGAAAGGTGAAGCAAAGGGATCGAGGGGTGAGAGATGATCACCGTCGTTTAGTTTTTAATCATTCGGGGAACAGGTGGCTTGTTCTCAGGGTTCCTAACGGTTGCGTATATCAGCGTTGCAGTTTGTTACGCTCATGGTATTTCAGGACAAAAATAAAAACTTCTAATCTGATCAATTTTCGATCTAAATATTTTAATAGAAGATGGATTGGTGTTTACCAAAAAAGTATGTTTTCATAAGAAAAATTGTTAATTATTCTTAAAGTCCGGGACAAACTCTTCCAGTTCAAAAGAAGCCTGAATAAAAACTAACACCTTAATTTCTCTTTCTTCAAGCCTACTTGGGAGCTGCATCGAATACAGATAAAACTTGATTTTTTATTTTTGTCCTATGAGAACGCACTATCCGCTGGCTAATCGGGTATTTAAACCCTCCTTGCAGAATAGAATTTCAAACAACCGATGAATAAGAGGTTCCGATTTCATTGTAACTGTTCTTTATTTTTTTCTTTGTTTCCCTCGAAGCTGTTCACAAGAATAATAACCGAGCGGTTCTGTTTATCTTAAAAGCGGCAATTTTTGCAAAGCTGTTTCTCGTCAGCTGCGGTATAAAGAACATTTTCGACGTTAACCGGATATGTACCTATGAATCAACGCATCGATGCGTTGCTCTGAGTCACGTCGTGTCAGTCCGGGAGAAACATTTGCCAAAAATTCGAACTCGTCTTCCGCCGAATGAGTTAAACGTTTTGGAATGGCCAGTGGGCGTTATTAGAGAACACATATTTGACTTTAGTACGGTTATGTGTATTTTCGTTTCCAATCGATGGTCACTTTTTACTGTATGTACATCAAAAATATTTGCTTAAACGCCCGTATGTATTTGCGCATGGTATCCACGCTGGTTCTGCGATTCGAATTGAGGAACGATGGCTGCTGCTGGGCTTTGTTCAGCAGTCGACGGTATAGAGAGCGCCACTTCATCGGTGAGTACTAAATCCATCGATAATTTTAATAAAAATGTTCGTTTTTCAATTCCCGATGTGTACAATTGATAAGACATCACAGAAATTAAAAATTCTGATAAGAATTTTTAAGATTGAAACTGGGTTTTGCCATATTCTTCATTATCTACTATCAACAGAGCAGAATTTGTCGAGAGCGATCGCTAAAATCAACATACTATTGCTTTTAGATTGAAATTCAATTCCATTGGAATTCATATATAAATTATTTTATTACTGCTAGTAACAAAAGTAATTTATAATCGATAACGTTGGATGAGGTAACTTTCTAACTCCGCATATCTGTACGCTTATGCTCTCTAGTGACCTGGCCCAGCACACAGTAGTTCAACTCTAATCGATAAAAACCTATTTGCAAATCTGTTTTAATTATTTGAAAATTATTTCAGTTCCTTAATTCGATTTCACGTTGAGTATCACTACGTTGCATGCTTTATGGTATGCCATTATTTGAAAGATTGTTAAAAAGATTTAACATTTATAAATTGAAAAAGAGGAAAGGTGGATCAATCTCCTTATATTTCAATCTACTGATGTTCTTTACGCAAATCCTTCGATTAAGACGTGGAATTGGTGCGAAAATCCCGAGAGAACTCGATATCCTTGAAGCCGTACATCGTGCTCGTTAATCCACTCGGTTCTAACGACGATAATTATTTTCTTTGCCCGATTCCTGGCTCCCATCGCGCCGGCTACAGAAGAAACTGATCCACGTGGCGGTTCGGATCAAAGACCACGGGGATCAAAGCTGCGTATAGACGTCATCGTTCGTTGATCAATTTCCACAAGCCACTGTTTCCCTCTGATCCTCCCCTGTGACGCGTCGAGCCTTTGGAAAAAGTTGGAAACTCCATTTCCTTCGCGTCTACCGAAACCCGTACTGTGTGCTCTGATTGAAAAGTTTTATATTATCCAATGATTTCAAAGAAAACTCATTCGATCTTTCAGAAAATGTCAATGCTTTCCATTATAACTTCGATCATTTCCAGTCCGGATTTTCGTCAAATAAAAACCAGAAAAAGTGAATTCAAATATATTTGTTTTCATAGTACGAATTCTATTTTGCGTTTGTCCAACATTTATCCAACGTCGAATTTTGCTCTTTTCTCTCGCTCCTCGTGAAGCCGGCGCTCTCCACTATTCCCGAGAGTGTACTCGAAACTGTCAACACGTATCCATCTGGTTAACTCGTTTGTGCAACCTCGTAAAAAATTACAGGATTACCCAGCGTGTTTTCGTTTAAGATCGCGACCGAGTTTCGCGAGGCGATGTTACCCTCATCGCGAAAATAAATGGTTCTGCGAGCTGCTTTCGGTGTTAAAAAATTTATTACAGTGGAACGCTTAGAAGACTGCGATGGAGAAAACAAGTTAGAGTTTGATATAGCATGGCTTATTTAATCAAGAAGTTTTCGAAAAACATAGACGTAGTAGAGTTTAATTTTAAAATTGATTATAATGCATGATAATCATCAGATTTAATAAATCTTAAAATATTGTAATACCGTAAATATAAAACAGTTCAACGTTTAGAATTGGTTCTCATTTAATTAGCTCTCCGCATATCTGTACGCTTATGCTCTCTAGTGACCTGGCCCAGCACACAGTAGTTCAACTCTAATCGATAAAAACCTATTTGCAAATCTGTTTTAATTATTTGAAAATTATTTCAATTCCTCAATTCGATTTCACGTTGAGTATCACTACGTTGCATGCTTTATGGTATGCCGTTATTTAAAAGATTGTTAAAAAGATTTAACATTTATAAATTGAAAAAGAGAAAAGGTGGATCAATCTCCTTCTTATATTTCAATCTACTGATGTTCTTTACGCAAATCCTTCGATTAAGACGTGGAATTGGTGCGAAAATCCCGAGAGAACTCGATATCCTTGAAGCCGTACATCGTGCTCGTTAATCCACTCGGTTCTAACGACGATAATTATTTTCTTTGCCCGATTCCTGGCTCCCATCGCGCCGGCTACAGAAGAAACTGATCCACGTGGCGGTTCGGATCAAAGACCACGGGGATCAAAGCTGCGTATAGACGTCATCGTTCGTTGATCAATTTCCACAAGCCACTGTTTCCCTCTGATCCTCCCCTGTGACGCGTCGAGCCTTTGGAAAAAGTTGGAAACTCCATTTCCTTCGCGTCTACCGAAACCCGTACTGTGTGCTCTGATTGAAAAGTTTTATATTATCCAATGATTTCAAAGAAAACTCATTCGATCTTTCAGAAAATGTCAATGCTTTCCATTATAACTTCGATCATTTCCAGTCCGGATTTTCGTCAAATAAAAACCAGAAAAAGTGAATTCAAATATATTTGTTTTCATAGTACGAATTCTATTTTGCGTTTGTCCAACATTTATCCAACGTCGAATTTTGCTCTTTTCTCTCGCTCCTCGTGAAGCCGGCGCTCTCCACTATTCCCGAGAGTGTACTCGAAACTGTCAACACGTATCCATCTGGTTAACTCGTTTGTGCAACCTCGTAAAAAATTACAGGATTACCCAGCGTGTTTTCGTTTAAGATCGCGACCGAGTTTCGCGAGGCGATGTTACCCTCATCGCGAAAATAAATGGTTCTGCGAGCTGCTTTCGGTGTTAAAAAATTTATTACAGTGGAACGCTTAGAAGACTGCGATGGAGAAAACAAGTTAGAGTTTGACATAGCATGGCTTATTTAATCAAGAAGTTTTCGAAAAACATAGACGTAGTAGAGTTTAATTTTAAAATTGATTATAATGCATGATAATCATCAGATTTAATAAATCTTAAAATATTGTAATACCGTAAATATAAAACAGTTCAACGTTTAGAATTGGTTCTCATTTAATTAGCTAGTATATTCTTTCTGCAATATCCGAACCAGACTAAGTCCATCATCTCCAAAGAGAAGAGTTCGAACACCACAGGAGCGTCACGCGATCTTAATTAACAATGTGGTTCAATTTGCTGGTTAGAGGCACCGGACCGGGCGGTGCAAATTTATGGTGCCGTCTGTGCGCCAACTTCAAAAGCCGGTTCCCCGATATAAATCAGGGAGGGGGGAAACGAGGCTGGAACCTCGAAGGGAACCTCCAAGGAGGAACGAAGATGTACGGGCTCGGTCGTTGTTTCGTGGCGCGGGTTGAATAGATTCTTCCATGGCTGAATGATGGTTAATCCGCATTCATAATCGCGCACGCAGCGCTCGCGTACGCACGGGATCTTAAAAGGATCACCCCTCGTTCACCCGTTAATTCTCTCTTTCTTCACGTTCTGATACCTGAATGGCAACCGGAAGCCCTTTCACGCGTCCCGATTTCGTCGTCTGAATGAGAGCACGCAGCTCTCCCGAGGGCCTTTTTCAATCTCCGTTCGCGTTCACGGGCTGAAAGACGCGACTTCGTGCGCGACTCGATCCTTCGCGTCCTGAAGGACAGCCGGGGGATAAGGGGCGCCGAGAGACAAACGCGATCGAGGGATTTCGAGGCTCCACGGGATTATTTCGAGGGGTGAACGTTGATCGAACGCTACTAATGCTTGTACAGTTTAAGCGGTGCGCGCGCCGCTCTATTATTCGGACACCTATTATCCGGATGTACCGCTGGTCGAACATTGTGTTATCCAGATGCTTTTTCTTGTTCGCCCTTCGACGGTTTCAGGCCGAGAATCTCCTGGGATAAATGCCTGCGCACTCAATTTTTTTGCCTATGATATATTTTACAAGCGTTACTGAAATTTCGTTTACCTTTGCCAATAACGGCTTGGCTGGCTATAGTATTTTTATGTCTATCACTTCTATAATCAAATATTAAAAGATTATATCATTTCGGAGACTTTTTTTAGCTCCGAGCTCTCCGTCTCTAAGAACCTTTTATATTCCGTTTACTGAATTTCGCCTTGTAAATCAAATCTAGTGCCAACTGAACAGAGTTTCTTTAGTATTCGCTGCAGTCGCAGCTCCCAACCGAAGGTCCTCTTGGAACCGAAGTAGGTAAGAACGCGCACGTTGAAACCTACGATTCAGCAGCCGCAAAATACGACGGTCTCTTCTCTCGGTTTACGTTTTCAGAACGGTGCAGGATGAACGTGCGCTTCTTGGATCGGCGCACTCAGCAACCACGTAAACACCCGGCTGCAGCTGCAGCTGCGCCTGGAATCCTTTCCTCATAGCCACATTGCTCGTGCACCTTTATCTCTGTGTTTCAACTTCTCAGAAACTCGACAATATTCGCAAAATTAAACGCAAGCTATCTCTATTAAAAACTGTATACATCATTCTATTCTAGTGGTATTAGTTATCTTTTCTTAGTTAATCTTTTACTGACGATGAAAGTGAAATCTGTAATCTTGTAATTGTATCATGCAGATGTCTGTCATCGACATCGTAGAAGCATAAGGCTATCTCAAAGGCTTAAAGCTTAGCTAAAGCTTTGCTCTCCAGCCCAAGGGAGAAACATTTCATCGAATTTAGGTGTCCCCGTTATGCCAATTCTAATTATACTGCCAATCGATGGGAACACGATTCTAGGTTTCCTTCGACAAACACCGGAAACGTTCGTCAATAAACAGTTATCGCGCATTTTAGTTACACGACCCGGCGCCGTCAGACTCTAAAATAACTTGTTGAACGTCGCGTCGTGAGCACGGCCACGTCCATGCATAATACAATAATAATGCGGGGCCGGCGCGTGTACAATCGTCCTCATTGTCCCGGAGAACGGCCTCTTGGCTTTAATTAGCAGGTACATGCGTTTTTAAGCTCGAGTACTGTGCGAACACCGCTCATCGATACTAAAACGGTGTTTCGTTGAGAATGTTCTAAGTATGCAATGTGTTAGCAGCCGTGCGAAACGAAGTCGAATAACAAGACGCTTGTTTATGTTCGTCCTACTTGGATCGTATGCAATTTGAAAAGTGAATATGAAGAAACGACTGTTTTTCTAATATTACATCTGTGTGT